ACCGTTGTCTAACGGGCACACTGAAATTCAAATCCGCTAATTAAACCGAAATCTAGATTCGCAGAATTGTAAATGGGACGACACCCACCGCCGTTAATGCAATTTGAATAATATTTCAAGGTTTACGCCAGCGTTCGCTGAAATTCCACCATGCGGACGCAATTACAGTTGTCGTAGTTTTCACTTGCATAATAGCGACACGTTATCTTGGCTCTCGTTTACCGGATACGATTACCGCGTACTCGGGCCGGGATTTTCGCAATACGATAAAAATTCACTCCATTTCACGTTCCAGAAACCGATGACTCACAGACGAATGGTCCGCCGGCGATTTTCCGAGACCTTTTTCTTGATCCTATCGCTTCGGTACCGTCACATAAAGAACACTTAGAATCTCGCCTTCAAGGATTTTTGTAGAAACAAATCACGTCTCTTCGCAGTCGAAAGGTGTCGAATTTATATCTCCCTTCGGTTGGAATTGAACTGGAGATTCCTGTGATTGTATTTATGGTATAGGTGATCGTGAGTGATTGGTTCAAGCACTATTATTTGGAGTAATATGCAAATTGACCCCTGGTTCAGGCCTTGGGAATTGTAGAATTAGAATGTTGAACGTTTATATGAAAATCATGATCAAAATGATTGAAAATAGTATAAATACATAACGAATCTATTCATAAATATCATACGTATTTCTGTATTTACAATTAGTTAATGATGCACTAGAGAATTTTATCAACAATTCACGAAGTCTCATCAGTAATAATAATAAAAAAAAAACACTACAATTTTCTTTTCATTAATGTATCCACCGTGTGCTCTTAAAACTTCTTTTAGCAATTTTGGTTCTCTAGGTATTAACTTTTTCATTTTATCGAAAATAATATTATCCCATTTGTTGTATAATTAAATGTTTTGTAGATGTTAGACATTTTTTCCGAACTCTTCTATTTAAATGAGAATTTCTCTATGGGAAAGCATTAATATTATGAGACTTAATATTATTAAATGTTACTAAATACATATCCGAAACAGAATTTAATAACACAAAATTTTATAGTAATAATTTACGGTGTACATTAATTATTTATTGAACTACATCTATTCCTAATTGTACCTATTCTAACGTATCATATTGACGAGTAAACATTTCTATTTAAACTAGACTTATAAATAGACTGCGGATCTTTATGCATTTATAGGAAATTTTAATGTGCAAGAAACTACAAAATGCAGACAATATTCAAGAATATAAAAAAAACGTTGAAAGTAAAGTTCATGTTATAATGCTTGCAGAGTAGAATAAATGTCTATTTAGGTTCAATTTTTGTAGGTACGTTTGCAACGATTTTATTTCGCGTAAAGATCCACAATCTAGTTATAAGTGTGTGTTTATAAAGACGAAGAATTAATTTCCACATCTGATACATTGCATCCTAATAGTCCAATCTTGACTTATCTATCGACAAACTGCGAATCTGATTCAGAAAATACAATACATGTATCTACCGGTTGCCTCGATCGGTAAATCCTTGTCAGGAGAAAGTCGTCTATAGTTCTCTCAGCAAGAGTTGGCTCGCGAAAAGTATTAACCACGTTGAGCACGAGATTTGGTAAAAGTGGCATAGCTCGATTCAGTTCCTAGACCTTTTCGCGTTATCGAGGCTGCATAATAAATCGCTTTTTACGAAATGGAAATCGCGTTTGCGGGGTGACTGATCTGCTCCAGTTTCGAAAGCGTTTCTGTGTAACAGGAAATCGAGGAAACGATTATCGATCGTGATTGTAGATCTGGTTTGAGTCACGGTAGCTTTAAAAGCGGATAATGGGGTACAGATGGCTAGAGATTTACGCAATTCTTTTCAATTCGCTGCAGAAACGTCAGGGTTAAAGAATACACTCTGCATTCAAGAGGAATTTTCCATTAAATCACTCGCTAAGATTTTCAAACTGTTAATTAAACTATTAGGTTATCCGAAATACATACACAATACCTTATGTCTAATGTTACATTATACAAGTGCATACAATTCATTTTGCTTCGTTACTGTTACAACGTTAACATCTAAGAAATTAGGTTGTCTATTTATATAAACATTGCCACACAAAATAATTGAGTGCAAGTCACGGAAGAAACTTTTGGGACAATCTAATATTTATTTTGGTGTGGAATATTCAATGAAATAATTAGTAGAGGAATAGAAGTTTTTCGATTGCCTATAAAGCAAATGTTTGAAATAGTTTTATTTAAACAGCTTTTTAAATTCGGATCCAGTACTGGGTCCCTTTCAGAAAATTGCACACTACTACAAAAATATAATAGTGGAATAATGGTTACGTTAATAATAAATTTACTCGCTGCGTTTGTAGTTTTGCAGGAAATTCAATTTACATAGTGTATTAAAATGATCAAGTCATTGTATACCTTTCTCAGCGATACAATCGCTGGAATACACAGTTTGGACACATTATCGTGAGATTTGTCGACATCCTGTACGCAGAATGTCTTAGAACTTGAATGAACTCTGTTTCGAGACAAAGAAATACTCCGAGTTGCGAATTTTCCAATTAACACATTATTGCGCAACAAGTCCTGCGATTTTGATCGTGTACCTTTTTATCGGTGAATCACATAATGAATCATACTGTTGCCATTAGGTGTCGTAGACAATCAGTGATTAAAGTATTATTTTTGTCTTCCTAAGACATCTCACTTATATTAATCTATGTACAAAAGTAATCATTTCTATGCGTATATTTGATCTAACTCGTTAGAAGCACGTTATTACAAATAGTTCGATTGCAAATTTTGAAGTCATTGTAATTTGATATGCAATATTGAGGGGAATAATTAAAAAGAGTTTTTTTATGGCCTAAGAGTAAATGTTTCAAATAGTTTTCTTTAATTATATAATTTTATAATAATTTTACAATTATATAATTCCCTGATGGCAAAGCACTTAATATCGTAAATATTATCAATTACATATTCAGTTTTCGTGCTAGCATACTTATATAAAACTTCAACGTGTTTCGTATGTAAAGCTGACTACCATTCTCGACCATATTGATTTCACTTTCAAAGATAATCTAGGTTATGATATGGGAGTTCGTTGGTGACTTCAGCATAGAACCGAATAGGCCACAGGGTCAGTTGCCCCTATACAGTCAGAATCTAGATATAGCATTCGAATACTTTCGAATAGAACTCATTATACCGCTCGGTACAATACACACAGATGCAATCTCAGCTGGTCGATATCACGAGTGCATAAATATCAAACGCACAACACTGCTTATAATTGCCATTATCTTTCGTATTATCAATTTTGACGTCCACTTTCATGTGTGATTCATATCCTATTCCTTCTAATAAAAATATGCGGAGAATCAAGAGTGAACGACGTAATAAATGACGTTTAATTGAAATGAAGGATCAGTTCTTCGTATAATGTAGACATTGTAGTATATCTCCTAAACATTTAGATTTTGTCCAGGTATACATAGTACGTTTATTAGATATCGAGTAGATGTTATACATAATACATTAAAGAACATAGAAAGTGAAGAAAAGAAACATGTCCGAGTTTTTAGTCAGACACATTCAATATATTAGCTTATTTACAGCGCGAAAACCAAAAATATTATCACCGACACTTGCGTCTTTAAATAAATGATAAATTAAAGTAAATAAATAATGTACTGTACATTAATTCTGTACCTCTATAATCGATCCTTGATAACTCTCGTTCAAACAGATACACTTACTCGTCATTTTGTTGTACTTTACTAGCCACGAAATTTGTCTTCTACAATTATTATAATTACCAAGTACACTTGTAATCTGTTAGAAGACCAACAATAACCAAAATTTATTGGCTACTGAAATTCGTACATACAGAAGTTCGTCCTGTAAATTGTTAATTAATCAATTGCAGTTGTAAGGATTGTTGATTTTTGTGAGAATATCAAATGTCATAAACTGTTATCTTAAATAAAATCTCGGAATTAATCGATAGCCCCACAGAATTAGTTTCTACATCAAATATACAGGGTGGCTACGTATAAGTACGGACATACGCAGGCTGTCAATTCTACAACACGTAACCAACAAAAAATTACTCTTAGACATTTTCTTTGTGTCGCCTTATTCTGAAGTATTTTCACTTTTAATTTTTCTTCCGTTCTTTTTGACTTGACACTCTTTAAACGGCCATAACTCCGCCAAACTGCAGTGCAAACTCAAAACTAGGTATACCATTCGAAAGAGCGTTAAATTTCCCAACTCTCTGATACAAAACCAAAATTTGTTACGAAGATTGAATACGTGAAAAATTAGGTCAAACTTTACATTGTGGAAATATCAAAAGACTTGACTTCTTCTGTATTCGTTTTTCGATTTCAAAGACGTAGTTGTGTGCCGGGCACTCTTCGGGAAAAAACTTCCTCGAAATCTCAGCTTTTGAATGATATTGTCAAAAAAAAATTGTACGGTGGTATTTTAGGGGGAAAATAACGTTCAAGTCCAGAAAAGCGTGGGTTTTCGGGTGATGGGGTTTTGGGGATTAAAAATGTCCCACCGTGCATTACGGTCCATCGAAAAGGTGGCACACTTTTAATCCTACCGTGCCCAAAAGAGTCGAAGAGTGTCGAGTGGAAAACGCAGAAAAAATATTCAAAATGAAAATTCTCGAGAACAAGGCGACACAAAGAAAATGTCTAAGAGTAATTTTTTCTTGGTAATTTGTTGTAGAATTGACACCTTGCGTATGTCCGAACTAATACGTAGACACCCTGTATATATTGTATGTGTTAAAATAAATTGTGATACTAAAAGAAAATAAAGTGCGCTTCGAATATTGCGTGCTTCGCACTCGATTTCGTCTCTTCGCGGTCGAGTAGCCTCTCTCTCTCTCTCTCTCTCTCTCTCTCTCTCTCTCTCTCCCCCGAGTTTAATCGCAACGGCCGCTAGAGGCGCTGGTAGTCACGGTTCGACAGCGGCCCGAACATATAGTCGCGAGCTGGTCTACGGTGCGGACGACCGTGCAATACCGTTGCTCTTCTCACGTTTACCCGCGGCGCGCGTGTTTCTCGAAATATGAGTGCTCGTCCTTGGTGAAAGAAACGCGAGATGCTGGCCAGCTCGTGCCAACGGTTCGCGTACATTCCTGGAGCTCGGTAACGATTTCCCGTGGCCACGAAACGGAGCCCGCGACCCGGGCCCTTTTCCTTTTCCTCGTTACCTCGTGTCATCGACTGTGGTCCCTTCTTCCATCGGCACGAAGAAGAATCGCGACTCGTGGCCCCGTGCAACCGAAGAAAGTCTCCAGTTCGAGGTTTGTCGTTCGTGTGCTTTCGTATCTTGTTTCGAGACTACTTCGGCCGAGCACGAGTGCATTCGTACGTTTGCGGAGGTTAATGGTATTCCCTGCATTCCTGGGGACCTTTTTCCTCGTCCTTGGTTGCTCCGTGCCGCGCCTCATTGTTTTGTGAAGTCTTTTGTGCCGCTTCCGTCGTACGGGAATGTTTCGTGACCGATCCAAAAAAAGAGCAATAGCGAGTGGAAAGGAATGAATAACCGCGGCACAAGAATTTACAAAGTTTCGGAACGGACTGGGAAAACGAGTAATTGAAAGTGATGGAACATTGTTTATTCCGCGGTTCGCGCTTTGTGTAGATTGTCGAAGTATGGTCGCAGGTGCCAAAACGGTGTGCTCGAGTGGACATTTTCCCAAGCGGTTACAGCTAACCATTGTGCAGCGAAGAGTTGACCTTTCGCTCTTCACTCACGGCGACGTAATACGCACCGCGCGACTTGGTTTTATTTACCGCAAACACTGACCGAATCCACGCTGTACGCGAACGAAAGTCGAGTCGCTCGCGTTTGTTGGTTTCTGTGGGAATCGGGGGACGGTCGTATGTCAGAAGCAGCGACCACGAAATTGCCTTGGAGTACCGAAAATGATTCTAGGGAGCGCGAGTTAACAGGTGCCCCGCGGTTAAGCACACCATAGCGAGCCTCGCGTAATCATCGAATTTGTGAATAGACCGTGTAACGATACAGTGTGCGAGGTTTCCGCGAAACGATCATTCGAGAGAGGTCACCGTCGTCGATAGACGAAGGAAAACATCGATAGGGGAAATATTCACGTACCCACCCGACGTTTCCACGTATTCCCAGGCAACAGAGAACCTTATTTGTTTTCCTTGATACACGTGTTCCTCCAGGGAGCACCACGGTACACGTCTATATTTAGAGGAATTGCTGGAGCAAGAAATTCGGAGCCCTCGATGACTGGTGCGTTCCTCGGCCCTTAGGAGCCTCTCACTCTCCAGCGTCGAGACTAAGGTAAATTTCAGGAAACTCTCAGTCGTCTGGACCGGGAACAAACGCGTGCTCCGTTTACGATAACTTTTATCGTGATACGAGCAAAATATAGGGCAGAGATGGGCATCGTTTTATCGTGCGAATAATTAAGGAGGAAGGGAGCAAGTTTTTATTCTTTCGACGTCTTTCAGTCTTTTTTTCGTATTGTTATATTGAGTTCATCGTAACTCTTATTTTCTCCCTTTCTGTTTCCTGTTTCTGTATTTTGGTCAGGGTTGCGAGTAATTAATTACTTTTATAATTAATTTCCGTCTTTAATCGACAATTAATTACAAACAATGTAGTTAAAAGTTATTTAATTGAAATGAATCAAGCAGAATTAATCGAAAGTGGTTTAATTGACGATTGATACGAGCAAATTTAATCGAAGATATTTAATTGACGAATACTTTAAGCAGAATTAATTCAAGCTATTTACTTGACGATTTGTTTATATTTTCAATGTTAAAAGAGATTTATATAAAATATCATTAATTGTATAAGTAACACATATAAGGTTCGTACAGAAAGTGTTATGCCGGCAATGCCAAATTAGCTGAACTGCTTTATGTTTTTAGTATATTAGTTTAACTTATACCTATGGTATATATATTTGTTTTTATTTTGTCGTCATTGAATAGGAATACATATTTATTCTTATTTACGTTATAAATTATTTATTCGTAGAATTATCTCAACAAATACACTATTATATACACAAGCAACTCATTTTGATGAGGTTAATAGTATTTAGTATATTGCATTTGTCGCTACAAATTGGTTTATATATATATATATATATATATATATATATATATATATATATATAT